ATATGTTTGTTATGGTAATGAAGTAGTGAGTTCACCAGAATGATTGTTATTTTTGCCCCTTTTTTTCTTAGAAGTTGGGACAAGGGTATCCACAGGGAGGGGGTCAAAGAAAAGAAAATAGTGGGCCCCAACCATGTGATCAAAGTCCCACCCTTTTAAAAAGGGCAGCCTTCCTTCCTTCCTTCCTTCCTTCCTCAGACATGAGGGCAGGGGGCTTTGATTGCATTGTTGTGGCTCTCATCTTCACTTTTCTGTCCATCTGCCTGTGGACACCCCTGGGTTGGCATGATTTATAGAAAATAGGTGTGTTAAGTTTCCCACTGGTTTAACACATCTGCTTACCCCATAAACTATAAAGAGGAAGACACAGAGAGAAATTTTATGGTTGAAAATGGTCATTTTGCTCCCAAATTTCAGTGGTGTGACCCTGAAGGACTTGGGGGGCTACAAAAGTGGGGCTGGTGTTGCCTCTTCCTACCAGGAAGGACTGGGGCTTCACTTGGGCATCAGAAGTTTCCAGAACAGAAAGCTATTTTGGGGGAGAAGCAGTTCTAACCCATTAGTAGAACACACATTTTTAGTAAAGTTCAGGAACTCACCGGTGGGTTGATCATACAGTTTCTTGTGTCTTCCTGCTCAGAATTTGCTTGGTTGGGATAACCTGTGATGCAGCCTAGGATGGAAGGAGAAACTTCTCATTCAAGCAAGTCTTCTTTGAGTAGCCTGGGAGGTTGAACAGCTGGCCAGCTAAGTGCTTAGGAGCCATGTCTGTTTTATTATTCCCTTTTGTCAAAACACTGGAAGCCAGAGATGGGGAGACCACCTGCATATTTCCCCTTGCATCTCTGTAAATCAAAAGGCCAGAAGCAGCACCAGTTCCTGGTTGGAAAAAGGGCCAAGTGCCCTCTGGCAGATTGTCCCTACCTACCTTCTCAAGCTTCACTGGTGACAAAAAGAGACGCTTATCTTCTGAGACATCTTATTGTCACCAGCTAAGTTTGTGAAGGTGCATCCACAGGATAGGGAGGCTGAGTCTGGTGCCATTTTATTTTCCCACCATGCCCTGGCGTGAAGCATCATCAGGGCACTGTGGGAAATCAGTAGGGCACTTGAATCTACCTACCCAGTATTGTTCAAAGCTGCTGGTCAGTTTGGGGGGAGATTTTTCTAGTGAGGAGACTATAGTGTGTAACCACACAGCATCCTATCTCACAAACTTTACCAATAAGAAACGGACATCTTTTTGTCTGGCCTGGGGGTGGCTCAGTTCCTGTCATTATCTGTCTTGCTGTCTGTGGAGGGGGGTGCCGAAAACATAACCAAAGCAACTATACAAACTTTCTGGTCTTGATGAGAAAGAAGAGGCAGCGCAGAGCTGATCCAGTTAGATAAGATGTCCAGTCCGAACACTGGCCAGCTTCCAGTAAAAAGTGTAAATTTGGCGTGAAAACCTTGACAAATCCACCAGCAAGGATGGCAAGAAAACTTTAGAAATTGGCACCCAAATGGCTCCTTTTTTTTAAAGGGGAAAAGAACAAACCAAGCCCAACATGTACCTATTGCAACAGCAGAGACGCAGTGAGTCACAGCGAGAAACATCTTTGGGGAGGATCGTTATGGACGGGGAGGAAAAATGAGCAAGGTCTGTTTTTTTATAGCCCCGGTCCCATGCTATTAACAGCCACCTGGTGACAGGCGAAGATTAAACAGAGAATTCCTTTTGCCCGCTCTGTTTTCAGCCTCAAAATGCATCGACCCAAAGAGTATGCACAGAAACCAGATTGCCTTCAAAGTGCCCAAACAGCATTTTACAGTATTCCAGCTTCCTGGCCTATTTTTGTACCATAGGACTTCCAGTTCACGCTGCTGGAGTTTGGTAGCAAAACTGCTGATTTGGGGCAGGGAAATTTGCTGGGTTTTTGACCCCGCCCCCAAGACTTAAAGTAAGTTTTCTGAATTTTGGCAGCGCCGCCTGCTTAGTTCCAGGGTTTGCCAAAAAGGGTCCAGTTGCATGTACAACCTGGGCTGCCAGTAGTCTACCCCACATCAAACAAACTTTACTTTGTTATTGTTCTGTTGTCCACTTCTGAGCTTGAAATCCTTTACTCACTTCCTTTTTTTTGATATCATTTTTTAAAATATAATTTTTGTTTACCATTTTAAGAAAGATAAAAGCTAACAGAAACTAATATAGAGTATGAAAAAGAATAAGAAGAAAGAAAACAAAGAAAGAGTGAAAAGTGCGAAAAGAAAAAAAGAAAAGAGATACAAAGAAGTGGCTTCTGACCTTCTTTACAGCAGCTATAAGTACGATGATAAATTTACCTCTTTTTTTTATGGAAGATTTTTAAAAAGGAAAATAAAAACGAATGCAAACTAATATGAAGTAAGGCAAAGAAAGAAATCAAAGAGAGAGCTAAAAGGGCAAGAACGGAAAAAAAGGAAAAGAAAAACAGAAAAGAAAGAAAAAAGAGACAAAGAAGTAGCTTCCGATCTTCTTTACAGCAATTATAAGTACAATGATAAATTTACCTCTTACTCTATGGCTACAACAGAACTCTCTTCTTTCTATAATCTATCCTGTCTGATTATCAAAACCATAAATCTTAAATTCATTTTTTTTTCTGTTTCACACAAAACATCTAAAAGCTTCCTGAGTGGAAGCTCCTAATAAAATCTCTGGGCTTGGGAAAGTGTAGAGTTTTGAAACAGTAAGAAATCTGATCCCCTAACAAGACCACTGTCCACCTGGCAAGCATGAGAAGCAGATGAGTTTTGACAGACATGGTCTCCTGCTTGGAGTGTACATTTAGGTCTTCTGCTTAGACCTTCACCCCTTGCTCTAGTCCCATCCTCACTCCATCCCAGCATCCCTGTCTAGCTTGGTGGATCAGTCAAGAGGGATTAACCAAACACTTTGCTTAATATGCCTTGCACACCTGAAATCAGGACATCATCATTCATCGGTGAGCCAAAACAGCAAAATAGGTGTAAGGAGGGATTAGCAATAGGGACAACGAAGGTATAGCATCCAGCCATCTCAAAGAGTGGTGGACAGCAATGTTGGAAAGGACCTAAGACCTGGGTGTCATTCTCATTGCTATATTCCACCTCCAAATCTAATAGGATCCTAACTTTCCTGACACCCTCTTAGAATCTGGAGTTCTGTTTTCAGATCAAACCCAACTTCGATTCTGACTGCAAGAACTGCTGTAAGACAAGGGCTGTGAGTATCCGATTCAGTGAAAAAGGGCCAAGGTATTCATGATGTTAAATGCACATTTTGCATGTTTAATGTTATGGCGTGTTCGAATCTATGTTGCTCCCTTTTGATCTGACCTTGTTTGCTAATGTGATATTTGAACATCATTTGTCCCTAGAAGCATATTGAGTCAGTTGCAGTCTGAAGACTTAGCACATCTTAAAATGGCTAAAGTTTTAGCATAACAAAACATTAGTAAAGGTTTCAAAACAAACTAAGAAGCCGCTCCACACTCAAGTCAAGATATACAGCGGTCAAGGTTGGTCAACTTATTGCAGCAGTCAAGGCAGAACTTTCCATAAGTGCTTCTCTCATTTCCTTTCTTGGCAGTGGCAAACACCATGTTAATGCATCAAATAGTCCCCAATTTGCTGATACCTAGAATCAATACCTTAATTAGCCATTAGATCTCACCTAATGATAGGGCCGGCCCTGCCAGAATTATAGGCAAGAATTAGTGCGTGTTGGATCCCCTCCAGCTATAATTAATTTAGACTCTGGACTTAATGTAATTAAGAGATAATTTGCATCACTTCACTTCAAAATGGGATAAATTAGCCCTATCATTGTCCAGCGGGTTCTGGACGTATGCCCCCATTGATTGGCTATGATTGATCTCCCCCTCATCTTACATTAACAATATATTAATATTGCAGAGAGTGGAATTGCATTTCCCAAAACCCCATATCTTTCTGCTTTGTCCTTGGGAGTGTACTTAAGCAAGGCTTTTTCCGTGGTCCCCAGATGATACATCACTAGACCCTCCAGAACTAAGGAAAGTAGGAAAGTGATGAAAAACTGCCACCTGGAATGTGCAGCAGATACCCAGTAAAGAACTCTTATTGCTAGTTGCTATGTTGTCTGTCAAATCAACCTAGATGAGTCCTTTCAGTTTTGCTGTACTCACCAGACCACTGAGGTCATGGAAAGTGGTCTTGGGAGGTAATACAAATAAGAACATCCTTTCTCCTGGATTCTGTGTTCCAGGAAAGAGTGTTCAGGTCTCAAACCACAATACATACCATGAAGGAAGAGCAAACTCCAGGCTCGTAGGATGTAGGAAACGGAGGCCATGTCCTTCATCAGATGGGTGATGTTGCTAAAAGAATAATCTCAAAAACAGATTAATCCATCAGCTAGGTGAGAGTCCACCCTTGCCAACGTCTGAAGGGCGGAACAGCTGCAGAGGACAGTCCAAACAACCTCCTAGATTATCCCGCTTGTTATGCCTCTCCTTCTCCAATAAAGCAAACAGCATGTGATAGAGATGCAAAGTCCAAATGTCAGCATTGGAAAGTGCATTTTATCCTGGAACTTCTGGTGCTTTTATGTTGCTTTTTAAAAACAAAATGTGAGAAGTAACCAAATGAGTTTTGTTGCTTATTTTACACTCCAGATGTCTACGGGTGGAACCAAGACTTCCTGATCTGGAGTGCAAAAGCATGAAGACCAGAAGGGGGCAGCAAGGAGATACCAAACATCTAGGGGTCATCCAGAATTTTGCAGCCCAGTTCTGGGAACCCTAGAACAGACTAGAGATGGTCCAGCTGTTCCCTGGCCCAATGGGGTTTTCACCATACAAGCTGTGCTTTTGGAGCCTGAAGGAGGGGCAGGGGGAAGAATGTCAGCAGTGGGTGGATATGGGTGTTGGAGAAGAAAATTCAACTGACAAGCAAAGCAAGAGTTAAGTACTAGGGCAGTCCATGTTTGCTTCAAGCTGGGCCACAAGCCAGGGTGCCTGGTTGAGTGAGGTCTTGCCCTGAGTAATATACTCCAGTTGAACTGCTTTTGGTATTGGGCTGAAAAATGCTTTCAGTGGGAGGTGGTGACTTCAAAGGAGCTAAGAATAAACAAAGGAACTTCGCCTCTGATGCAGCTGAAGTTTAAAAAAAGGAAGTTTGTGGTAACCAGCAGCATGGCATTTCTCATAAAAACAGTCAGCCTGAAAAGGGGAAGCGTTTAAAAAACGAAAAAAGGAAACGAATGATGGTTTTTTAAAAAACTGAAACGTAAAAATTCGTTCAATAAAAAAGCCCGGAAATGCCGGCGGACAAACCAAACGGTGAGTTCACAACCTCAGAAGTGGATTCAGTGTTCTTTGGCCTAAGAGTGAGAGATATGGAGATGCGATGGAATTGCGTCAAGATGTAAGCTGTGCCACTTAAAAGAAACATCCGAAATGCCACAGTCTTCTTTGGCTGACTTTGGCCTCTTTCTGCTCAAAGGGAAAACTAGTTATAAGTAAGAAAACCAAAGGCTTAGTCTATGCACGAAATTATCCTAAAATTCATGATTGGCAAATGAATGTGGATGCTATCAAGCAGATGTGGATTTATAAATGCCCTGGAGGGATGTTCCAGGCCTCACTATGCTGGAGAGAGCATTTCTTTATCAGGCAAGTGTTGCTCAGCGAAGGTCCTCAGCTATCCTGAGATCTTTCAACTCGAAAGGAGCCCATTTCATCCCTGCAGCCTGTGCAGTCTTTGAAGCCAAGGTCACCTTTCAGCTCCTCCTGGTCCTGTGAGAGACATCCTTGAAGCCCTTTGGTCTAAATTTATCAGAGCTGTCTTTGCAGCCCCAAGATGCATTAAAACCCTGCACTTTATCTAGAGGTGGGGGCCTGACCTCCATAGAAACTAAAGCTTGGTATCATCTTTTAAACTTATGGCTACAATTATTTTCCCCAGTGGTTCTCAGAGGTCACTGAAGTCAACCTGGTTGAAGTTATTGACAAGCTTCACTTCCAAGCTGCATGTAAGTCAACCTGTTTAAAGTTACTGGCAAACTCGCTCACCGGAGAAATTTGCCCATTCAGTTTTGACAATACCAGAAGTATTTTTGGACAGCCTATTTGGGACGCTGATCTCCAAATCGACCTCAGTCTGATTCCAACCTTGCAGCATGTGGTGTCGGTTCAGATGGGTAGGTTCCAGCCTTCTATCTCTCATCTATCACAGTCCTGAAATTCCACTGGGCCTTTACTATGGTCAAGGTGGATGGATTGTCTTCTGTCTTCCTGGGGGGCGGGCTCCAAAAATATTCTTCTTCTTCAACATATGATGTTCTTGTGGAGACAGTTTAGTGGAGTCTTTGAGCTATGTACTCCTTCCTTGCTTTTTCTACAGGGAATTCCAGATAATTTTTATTTCTCCTGGTGGAGAGCATGACATCTTTGTTACTTCTCCTATCTAATCAGTCTTCAGACATATCTTTCCAGGCTGCCAAATCTATGTCTCTATATGTACTACCCACCTCTCCTCAGCAAGTCTGAAACTATGTAATCACTTCCTTTCCTTTCTTTACATATACATATATATTTTCTCCTCCTCCTCCTCCTCCTCCTCCTCCTCCGTGACTGCTATCTTGACTTTTTCAAACTTACCCTGCCAACACCATTGGGCCAGTCCATTTTAGACAAATTGCCAATGTAGGGAATCAGATCATGTCAAGATTTCACACCCTGCCTTCTTTAGCTTTTATACTGTAGAGGTTTTTGGGGGGGGTGTCTCAGGACTAAATGTTAGGGATCTGGGCCACTGATTTTGAACAGCTGTACTTTGAACAGGTCTGGAAGCTGCAAAAAATGGGGGGGGGGCGGTGATGATGCATTTGCACAATAGCATTTCATAATGTGAAAAACTCAAACCATCTATCTTTTACTGACCTTATTAGGATGAACAGAAAGACATGCTTATTGCCTGCACTACAATAAAAATCACAGTTAATTGAAATCACATGTAAAAGAAACAAGATAAACAATGCATTCATGTATTTATTTATTCATACAACTTAGAGCCATCTGACTCCATAAGACTCTGGGCAACTAAGAAAAAGAGAGGGGATCCAGTATAACATTTTCCTTTTTCCCCCCCTTTTTTAATTATTTTTTTTATAGTCATCATATTTTTACTTCAACCTTCACTCTAGTGTAAAGTGTATTTCATTTATATATACACATTCGTTCCCCTTTTCTTTTCTTTCCTTTTGCTTTTTCGTTCTTTGCTTTATCTAATTAAAAAAATAAAACCGGGGGGGAAAAGACTCTGGTCAGCTTGCAATTTTAAAAGCAAGAAGCAGTAATAATTAAGAACACAGATCATATACGTTGGAAGAAAACAGAGACATCATAGATAAAAAAAAATCTGCAGGGGTTTGGCACCCAACCCTAGCCAAGGCCCTGAGGACAGGCAGGGTTTCAGCAGCATCCTGAACATCATTTTGGGGGGGGGGAACGATATGGATCTCTGGGGGGACGTTGTTCCACAGGGCAGCGAAGTCAGGCTTCCTATGTCTCAATACAGTAGGCGATATTCTTTAATTGAAGAGTCCTGGAGTGTATCCACTCTGCCCAATCTTACAGGACAGGCAGAAACTGTCAGAGATAGATGGCCCCTCAGATAACCAGGCCCTTTTTTGTAATTCAGGCTCCAGTTACCCTACTTCAGACACATTATGGGAAGACCCAGCTCTCTGGAAAAGGCTCTAATGCTGGGAAATGTGGAAGGAAAGAGAAGAAGAGGATGACCAGCAGCAAGGGGGATGGACTCAGTTACAGTGGTCATGGGTGCAACATCAGAAGACCTGAAGGACCAGGTTGGGGGCAGATCATCATGGAGAAAATCTATCTATGTGGTTGCTAAGAGTCAACACCAACTTGATGGCACGTAATCAATCAATTCTAGTAACTAAGATTGACTACTGTTTTTCCATTCTGTTTGGTGGTAGGTTTTGATTTATTTATGTATTTTAATTGCGTCATGGTGGTTCTGTTTGATCATTTTTAAATTTTTTTGTAGGATAGTGGGTGGCCCATTTCTTTTCACGCAAGGCAACGTAGCCTGCTTTCCCTTCAAATCCGTTTTCAAGTCTGCACAAATGTTCTTTCTCACTGAAGCCTTTTAATGACAATATTTCAGTAAAAATCAAAAGAAAAGATCTTTTAATGCGAGAAAGAGCCGTTGAGAAAAATAAAACACAGGTGTGGGGTTAAAAGGAGATATGTGGCAATATATGTAACTCCCATAAAGATAGAGTGAATTTGCTGGTATGTCAGTGACCATGTTAAGCAACATGGGATGGTAGCTTGATAGTACTTTATGGCTGTGCTGATTGCACCACTTATCTTTTTTTTTTTTTTCAAAAATATCAGCACTTTCAGGAGGTAAAAAAATGAAATAAGAGCAGAGTCCTCTCACAGGGCAAAGACTTTAATCGGGAGTCAGCAAGTTGTTCTAATTTTATATTTTGCTATATGGTGTTCTAATGTTTCCCTATTGGAATACACTGGGAGTGACAAGTAGGGGACAAATGACCGTGCTGCCCCAACGGCTGGTCTTTTTAATCTTTTCTAAAATAAAAACTTTAAACAAAGAAAAAAGAAAATGTTTTAGAAAATATTTTTAAAATAAAAGCATTAAAAATCATTGGATAACAACCAATGTAAAGGTGGAAGATTGCTAGTCCAAAACAAATTGTCACGTGGGGTAACCCAGATATTGTCAGCTGCAACTGTAGGCTAGGGAGGTGAAACTGAGGGAGAAGAGGACCTCAGTTTTGCCCAGACCTAAGAGTTATATTTATTTCCTCACTGTATTATATTTGTGTTTTCTTAGAAAGCTTGAGTCAGCTTCTTTGAAGGTCCTCCCCTTAATTTTATGCCCTGGCAAGTAGATTGAGCTGAGTGAAAGTAGCTGACCCAGAGTTATCCTGTTGGGTTGGGAGTCAAGTGGCTTGTAGACTTAGATCCAACACTATATCACACAGATCTGGGGAGGAAGCCTGCCCAAGTTTGTGAGACCCGAGTATCTTCAAGGCAATCCCCTAATCCAAGATAGCAAGCATTTAATCTGCTCAAACACAGGACTGCTCCGTGCATGTCCACCTCTGGGAACAGTCTTGCTTTGAGTTCCTTCAGGGATGCTGTAACCATGAGAACTGAACACTCAGCTCTCTATTGGCTCCTAGGCTTGGTATAGTTAGCTTTGCAGCTTCCTACTCTACTACGTCTGCTTGCAGAGCAGCAGAGAGGGAGGGAGAGGGAAGATCTGCTCTGCTCCTGGTCCCTCCTGGGTTTTCCACATCCTTGTTCCATGTTTGAGAAGGCAGTTGGGAGGCAGAGCCAAGACCCGCCTTGATTATGTAAGTATCATCAATACTCATCAAA